TTTCAACACTTCTTGGACAATAACATGTTCTCATGTATTTTATCCATAATGTACACTGAATAAATTGTACTAATAAAATGCACTGATAAAAATATTCTTCTGTCATTATCCTGGATAATTGAATGTTGTTTTATAGATGATGTTCTTCATTCTTTTTTTCGTTTTGTTTCCATCAATTTAACATTTACTTCACGTTGTAATTTAAAGTTGATTTAATAATTACTGTCAACTTTATACAACAGGTCGTTATTGCTTACTCATGCTGTTAATGCTATTTTTACCAAATGGGTAATTTGGTAAAACTAGACATACAAAAAAGATAGGTAAAAATAGTGTTAAGATAACTCTGAGTACATATATATTTTTGTTATTTCGCATACAAAGACTGAAGTCAATGTCCTTCGGTAGGACATTAAACATCATCGGAATGCAAGCACTATTAACCTCGGCGATTGTACCAATCAAGGTAATATATTTTAGAAATTCAGCACATACGAAATAAGCTGACAGATTTATTGTAATCGATGAGCTTGGTTGTACTTCCTTTCCTGACTGCTTAATCACACCGCGCATAATGAGCTTCGCGTATCCAATGACTGTATACTCTGAAAGCTTTCTGTTTTCTGATTTTTAGTGATCCATCACACCGAAGTTTCTTGATAAAAAAAAATTAAAGAATTTTTAAAAACCACCACGGATAAATGCAAATTCTTGTTTTATTTCGTTATGTTTACATAGATTCGACAACAATAGCAAATGCCATTTTATCTTTGCAATATTACATGATATCCAAAACATTTTATATAATCATAGCGTTTTATAATTGTGTAAAACAAATTACAGCGTTTAAAGTTTGAAGGTATCATAAAAGTTTACTATTGTGTTGTATGCTAGTTTTTTTTTTAGCAAGATTGTCCTTCGCTTCAGTTTTCGAATGTGCGAGTGGAAACGAGATTCCTTTATATCCCGTCCCTCGTATACATAAAGAGTAGACTACGTAAATAGGGACTACGTAAATATCACTGATACGCGTAGGTGTATCGAAAAATAGTGTGCTCTATGTTAAGCTACTTAAATATTCACTATATGTTAATCTGTTTCTTTTACTCTTTA